ATTGTGTGGTACAACATACCTATTATCCAACTCAATACCTACTCTCTTTGCAGTTCTACCATCGTCCCTTCTTCTATAAATTGGATATCCATCTTCATCAATTGTGGTTGATGACACAAATTTTTTTGGGAAGTGCTTTGTGCATCTACCATTTTGCATGCACGGAGAAGATTTTCTAGCAGTACCACAAGGACCATGCATCATGAAATTTGTAACAGCATCATAATAATAAGGATCTACTTTTTTATCTGGTAATTCTGCTGAAATTATTCCATCAATATCTCCGACATTTGGGTATTTATTCAGAAGAAAAAGCAAGATGTGTGCATGAGGCAAGCCTCGCTTTTGGAATTCAACTGTATAAATCACTGAAGAATAAAGATATAATTAGATCATTAAGTTTATATATTAGTTATTTTTAATATTAGCATATAACAAAATTAATGTAATAATGTAATAATTTTCTAGAACATAAAAATTGTACCTGCTTTTACTTCTCCAAAAACTTTATTGTCGCGTAGATCCTTTATCATGCGATCCAGCTTGATTTTGAAAACCCTTGTTAAAATGTCGGGACGATCTTCTGGAGATAATCCCCTACTCTCCACAAATCTAGTAATCTCTGGCCATTTTGGGTTGCAAGTAAATGTGATGAACAGATCAGGGTACCCCGCCCATTTGCAAATTGCCATGGCATCTTGATAATTTTGCAACATGTAACGTGCACCTCCCATAAAGCTGGAAGAGAGTATAACTCTTTGTCCTTGAGAAGAAGGTTCAATGTCACCATGTAAAACAGCATCTTGTAACCCTTTATAAAAGTGTGCTCTCAATTATTTTTGATTAAGCCTAATGAACCTCAATCGAGAAGATTCCATCATTGTATAACCATCTACCAAGAATTACTGAAATAATCTTCTAGCTGACACAATTGTTGGAACTTCATCCTTCCTTTCTTGAATTTTATATGATAAGTACTCACGTGTGCTAACACATTTCCTTCAACTGGTCGAATCATCAATATCATTTAAAGGAATATCTTCTCGGTATCCGTCTTCACCATACGGAAATAGTAATGGATATTGCAAACCTAAGTATGCTGCATTTAATTCATTTACCCTTTGTAGTTGTCCAGATTGGCTTTCAACTATGATATCTCTGTCAGACCTTGTTTGTTCAAAATCTCCAACGATCAAAGCAGCTACCTCTGAAACTGTTGGTAAATTGTATCTTCTTCCATCAGAGCCTCTTTTCCCTATCAATCTAAGTCTAACATTTGAGGTCCGGTCTGTTTGAAATTGATCTCTTACCATTCTAAATGACTTTGCAAGAATATTTTTGTCATCAAGCATTTGCTTCAACTCATTCCCAATTTCAGCATGAAGTTGATTGTTCATTTCACCACGGCTGTAAAGAAAAGTATTGAATTCAACTAACAATGTATGTCTTATAAAAAAATATAATTTTAAAATATTTTGAGTAAGTAATTGTCTATGCTAACCTGATTGGAGAAATTCTATTTTCCACCTCATTTTCTGTATCATAGATATACAATTGTGCAAATTTTGGAGAAGATCCCTCCGGAGGCAATAAGCTTCCAATCTGATGATAATTTTGCCCATACAATCTGAACGTTCTAGGTCCCTTTGTTTTGTTGACAGAAAAATCCACCTTTCCTCCCATTGATGTAAATGCAAATATAGAATTATATGTTCGAATGTTCTCTCTGAAATGTTTGTTTTTTGCACCTTCATGAAATTAGGTTTGGTTAAAGCAGATATATATATATATGCAAAAATTATAGTGTCGTTATTTTAATTAAATGAATTTATCTATTAACCTGATCCAAACAATAAATCCTTCAAAATCGAAGGAGGCTCCTTTGGATTTGGTAGCTTGATTTTTCCACGACCACAACACAAAGTGAAAACTGGTTTTTTATTTTTATACTTCTTGTCAACTCTTTCCTCGAACCAGAAATATGCCCCACAATATTCACATTCATAATTGGCATCAGTATTCTGGTTTTATGAGAGTAAAATAAAGAGATAAAGTTAAAGTACTTATTATATAGAAAGTAAAATTAT